ACACACACACACACACACACACACACACACACACACACACACACACATGGGGCAGAGAGACATAGACACACACAGTGATACACAGAGAGAGGGGGGAGAGAGGGGAAGATAGGGATGGGAGAGAGAGAGACATACAGAGAGAAATACAGAGGGGGAGCGAGAGACACACAGAGAGATACAGAGAGGGTGGAGAGAGATAGAAAGGGGAAAATAGGGAGAGGGACAGAAGAGAGACACAGAGATACAGAGAGGAGGGGAGAATGATACAGAGATAGGGGGGAGAGAGAAAGGGGAAGAGAAGGAGAGAGAGGGAGAGATACAGAGAAAGAGTGGGAGAGAGACAGAGAAGGAGAGGGGCAGAGAGATACAGAGAGGGGGGAGAGATAGACATAGAGAGACTAGAGAGAAGGGTTTTGTGACTGAGTAGGCTTGGCTAGGTGGTCATGTGACTGGGTGAGAATGAGTGACATCAAGTTGGTCATGCCCACCCAGATTTTGTGGCTCCCTGTGTTGTTTTTTTCCCTGCGGGAAACTGGCCCCAATAGCTCTTTGAGTGTTTAAGATTGCAGAGCCCTGATCTAGAAGAAGAAGAATGGAGTATATAAATAAAGAAAAGAATAATGGATGTATTATATAAATACTTATGTAACAATATTTGAATTGTTAGTTAACCAACAAAGTTGTACACGTCCATCGTATGCAGACTTTCAACCAACTGTTCAGACTACAAAGCCGTTTAAGACCGACCAGTTTGCAAACTATCGCTGTGGTTCCAATCTGCATCAAACAAAATGTGTTAATGGATTATGGTTTCCTGTGCCACGGTGTGAAGGTATCGTTTGCATGCTATGTACAAGTTTATAGTTTCTTCAATAGGATGCCGTTAATCATCTCTAAAAAATAAAAGTGGGGGACACCCGAGGACAGTCTTCCTACATAACATCTTTTGATGGCACACAGTTTCTTCTGAAAAGTTTCTTTATAATCCCATGAGCTGTGCATGCTTTGTCTAATCTGATGATGCAGTGAGACAGTGAATGTATCCATTTCAAAATAAAAGTTCATTTTGCAATGTAGAAAAAATCCTCAACAATCCAAGGATAAAAGGAAATACACATTAGTCTTAAAATCAGTTGGTTTCTTCCTTAGCAGCCATTTTGTTTCCTTTACAGCAGCCACTCCACCTCAGTTGTGGCACACAGATTCCTAGCCTGCATTGGACAGCATACTTTTGCCCATTTTTCCTCATTAGGCAAATTCAATGATAAAATTTCATTTCTCACATCACAAAAGTTCTTTGCTTTGAATCTTCCGTGTCTTAGGCAACCTAAGAGAATTTACACAGAACAAAAGCATGCAAATCTAGTACGGAATTCATCTTTGACTTTTGGTACTTGCATGGAGACATCCATACAGGTTTGTTGGCACAGTAAAAAAAAAATTCACTGGAAGAAGTTTCAGAATTTCTGCTGCTTAAGAGGACCATCAGATCATTACATCTCTCCTAGTTAATTCCAACATATCTTCATTCAAAAAAAAATTATTCACTTTTTTCTATTTATTTATACATATATTGTTGGAAAACAATACATACAGTATATTCTGTCCTTCCATAAAT